GGGGGGGGGGGGGGGGGGGGGGAATGAAAATACATTTTTATTAATATCGCAAAATTTTCTGGATCAGACTGATAAATTCAACACTATATTATACTTTTTAAATTTAGCAGACCAAAAATAGTATGGCTTACAATAAAACAGAGCATAGAAAATTAGTGATAGACATATAGTTGGATCAAAGACCTGCATAACCTTACCAATAGCTTTTGTATAATGTCTAGCACCAAGGAGAAGCTCTGGGGCTCTGTACCAGAAGGTCACCACCACTGGGTCAAGGTCAGCGAGTGGCTTCAAAGGAGAGTTGAACAACCTGGCGAATCCCATGTCAGCAATCTTCACCCTCCCTCGCTCCAAACCCTCACCCATCACAAGGATGTTTGCAGGTTTCTGAAATTTTATTTTGTATATTTAAACTATTTAATTCAGATTCAAGTGTAAAATGAGAGAGATCTGAGCAATAATATTTCAATGTTATGATTTTGAGTCCGGTGAAGAGGATCTTTATAGGTCCTGTATCGGTAAATAATCAATAAGGAATAACCAGGATTATTTTTGCCATAAACAGGAAAAAAATGTGCACTTTGCATAAAACTGTAAAGTGGTTTATGCACAAAAATGCATACAGCTTTTTAGGTATGTGCATGTACTGTATGAGTTTCCCCAAGAATATTCTGGTTATCCCTTATGATTACATTTAAACAGTCAGAAAACATTTTTGAATTCATAATTTGTGAATAATTTTGCACAAAACACAACATTGCACAGTAATTTCATCACCAAGCGTTACAAATACAGCCCCAAATAAATACAGCACCAAATACAGCACCAAACATGGCAGTATATGACGTCATCACTTTTTGTGCTGTCTGTTTTTTAGGTTACACAATATAACCTGAAAAAGTCTACTATGGTGGGAATAGCCAAAGCTAAATTATTGAAATGTATCTCCAAGTTTACATAAACAAATACATGTCTTTTTTGTGAAGAACATGACATTGGGCTAGAAATATCAAGAAGGTACCGGTAAACTATATATCCAGCCTACACAAATGAATGATGTTACTCAAGTTTTAGCTTCTGAAACAATATTGATGCAGCGGAGTAGAATATATTAATCTAGCAAAGTATTTTGAATAAGTTACATTTCAAATGAGGTGCAAATATTGGGAGTCACAGGTCCTTGCATAGTGCCCGGAAAAATGGGATATAAATAGCAGCAAACACAAGTCCGTGTGTCTAATGTAACTACATGTAGTAATAAGTGAGATGCAAACAGTGACAATCACAGGTCCCATATACGGGTAGACCCAGTAAGTGAGGTTTAAACAATGATAATCACATGTCCCTGTGTAGAATCCAATAACTGGAATGTAAATAGCAACAATCACAGATCCCTGTGTATAGGATCCAGTGAGGTTTAAATAATGATAATCACATGTCCATGTGTAGAATCCAATAATTGGAATGTAAATAGCAACAATCACAGATCCCTGTGTAGGACCCAGTATTGAGTAAGTGAGGTTTAAATAATGATAATCACATGTCCCCGAGTAGAATCCAATAATTGGAATGTAAATAGCAACAATCACAGATCCCTGTGTAGGACCCAGTATTGAGTAAGTGAGGTTTAAATAATGATAATCACATAACCCTGTGTAGAATCCAACAATCACTGATCCCTGTGTAGGACCCAGCGAGTGAGATGTAAATGTGATTTTTCAACTCACCAGATCTCTGTGCAGTACCCAGTTAGCATGTAAATAATGGATTCCGTCGAGAATCTGGAACAAAAGGGACTTCACCATGTTCCTCGGTACATCCACTGGCTTCTTGTTAGCCTTGGCTGACCGGTGAAACTTTATAATATGCTGAAATCAAAGAAGTTACATTGAATTTCTTGATTAATGTCAGAGACAGGAAAACAGTGATCAGATTAATGAAAGTCTATCACTTCTTAAGATGAAACAGATAAATAATGCCCCACTTTTGTCTTTATCCAACATTGAAGATAGCATGAGCTTTGTTTGGACATTAACATCCACAAGTTTACATGTGAGTGGATATGTTAGTCCGCACAAAAACGGGTGCGACATAAAGGTGATATTGGATAGAGACCTGGCACGTGGTATTACTTTTATTACATACCTAAGTATTCTTTGCATTTCATTTTCTGCAAAACTTTTCACATTGTTACCCCATATTAATACTCAAAATGCTTTCTGAAGGAAAAAACGAGACTGAAAAACAATGAAGGAAAACAGTATATCACGGAAAGAATAATGCTATTCAGCATTAATTATCAATGCTTCGAGATTTGGCATGGGCCTGTGGATTTGGAATTGGAAAAGTATTCATGACTTCTGTTTCTGTGACAGTCAATCACAATGCAATTGCTTCCAGTCTCAAAGATTCATATCATTCTTGCAGAACTGCAGGATAACTGAACGACTCGATAGTGAAGCAAACATAAAACAACTCTAACAAACAAGCTTTCGGTGAACATCTTGTGAAAATGTAGACAACTGATGAAACTGACTTACCCACAGATCATGTTCAGCGTAGTCAAACAGTAGCCATACTTTCCTGTCCAGGTGAGAGAGGAAGACCTTCTGCAGACTGATCACATTTGGGTGTCGCAATTCTCGCAGGAGCTTACGAAAAACAAAAAGACAGATTATATTCAAGCAATGAATGTTTTAGCAAATGTTGTTATGGTCCTAAAACACAGTAACACACATTGTTATTGATGACAAAACAGATAAAGCCTAGTAGGGCTTTATAAAAGTTTGTCAGCAATAGAAATGTGTGTTATAGGACCATAACAATATTTGCTAAAATATATTCATATCTTATATTTACATTTTGACAGAGTAGCTATGCTTTATTTAGTTATTTCGAAAAAAAAATGAACAGCAAATTAAGTGTTGACAAAAATACAATTGTTGATGTTGCAATAGAAATTGATGATATGTCACATTAGCCAATGTTGTTATAGTCTCATAACAACATTTGCCTTCTCAATGCATTGCAATGGCAGGATGCAAAGCAAATGTAAATATTGGGATACCAATTTGACTGTATTTATGTACAGTTTACATACAAGAAAATTAAATTAACAACACAAAAAAGGCAATACATGGAATTTAACTCTCACATAGCTGTCAACCCTCCCTCATTTTGACCAAAATTTACCAATCTTCTTCTAATAACCTGCAGAACACCTCTAGTGCATTGTCGCAGATGTGGCACATACCAGAGGAAACATGCCTCAGTTAAAACCATTATAAACCCTGCAGGTTATATATATCTCCAGCACACACACAGGCATACACACATAAGGAGATATTAGCCAGGTGGCATAGGACTAGTAGTTAGCGCCTGATAAGGCAGCACCTGAGAATTCCTCAATATTGTATTGATTAATATATATGCTTATTGTATTGACTGTATAAAATTGTATATCTATGTACTGTAAAGCGCGTTAGAGTGGCTTATGTTAGCTAGATAGGGCGCTATATCAAATGTTGTATATTTTATTTTATTTATATATATACAGTTGAAATGGTTTCTCACAGTGTCACAGTGTGCTGCAGTCTCTCCTTAAACACCTCTACTAAGATGACTTGGATTGGTAAGTCATTCCACAAGCAAATGCAAGAGGGGAAGGTGGACTGCTGGTGGCTTTGTAACCTGGAGAATGGCAGAGGGGAAGTGAAGGCTGTGTCCTCTTGTTGTAATAGTTAGCCCTCTTGTGATGAGATGTGGTTGTGGTGGTATTGTCACTAACTCATTGATGATACGGTAGAACATGATGACCTTTGCCCGCTTTCTCCATTCTTCTAAGGCGGTCCATTGGAGTTTGCTCGACATTGATGTGATGCTGCTGGTTGTTCTGTAGTCTCCAATGACCAAGTGTGCTGCCCTTCTCTGCACCATCTCAATATCTCTGATGTCCTTTTGTGAATTTGGATCCCATACAACGCTCGCATATTCCACGATAGGCCTGGCCAGTGTTCTGTAGTACTGCTCTTTGATCTTAGGTGGACAGGTGCTGATGTTCCTTCTCAAGAATACATTGATGATGTTGGCCTTCTTTGAAAGTGTTCCTATGTGATTGGACCAGCTGTGGTTGTCACTGATGTTTACTCCAAGGTACTTCTCTATCTTAACTCTGGCAAGTGGGGTCCCATGGATGCTGTAGGTAGTATCTAGTAGCTGCCTTCTGTTGGTGACCCGTCGTAATTCACATTTGTCCGGATTTAATTGCATCAGTCATTTTTTCTCCCACTGCTGCAGGTTGTCAAGGTCATTCTGAAGGATCCTAGAGTCATCATGTGTACGTACCTTCCTTTAGAGGAGACAATCATCTGCAAACAGCCTGGCTGTTGATGTTACACTCTCAGACAGGTCATTGCTGTAGATGAGAAAGAGCAGAGGTCCCATGACTGTTCCCTGTGGGACTCCAGATGTTACGTTTGAACTCTCTGATCTTTTCCCATCCACCGCCACCTCTTGTTTTCGGTGTTGCAGGAAGCTGGCAACTCATGATCATTGTAGTGAGTTAGCTCTTATCCCATAGTAGTCACACTTTCTCAAGAGCCTCTAATGAGGGACCTTGTCAAAGGCTTTAAGAAGTCGAGGAGTACAAAGTCAATCTGTTCTCTGGTGTTAAGACCATTTGCTTAGTCCTACAATGAGATGATAAGTTGTAATGATAATTAATATAATGTGATCATATTTTTCGGAATCCATGTTGGAAGGATGATACGGTAATATGCTCCGACTTTCGAGATGACCAATGATGTTACTGTGAAGTATAAGCTTCATGATCTTGCATGTGATGGAGGTGAGGGATACCTGACGATAGTTGGAGGCCTTCCCTCAATCTCCGTCCTTGAAGAGAGGTGTGACCACAGCTTCTTCCCACCTCTCTGGTATCCGTCCTTGTTATAATGATGCCTTGTATATCAATGTTAGGACCGGTGTAACCTCCTCTGCTATTTCCTTTGGGAGCTGTCCTGGGATAGCAATAGGGCTGCAACGATATACCGTATTGTGTCATATCATGATACTTTCTTGTGTATCATATTGAATTGTTTTGTTTGCCTGTATCATGATACACTAATACATGTAGTACTTAAATTATCAATTAATTTTTAATCAAACTCCTAAAAAAAAGTTTAATTATATTCTTGTAATCCTTCAGTAAAGATGTGGTCCACTATGCAGTCATACCCAAAAGTACTAGAAATTATACAAAAATATATTTCCATAGTATATACTTATTTGAAGTCTATGAGTTTATACTTATTTGAAGTCTATGACAAAATCCTGCACTCCATCATTATGAAGTTGACCTTTTAGCAGATATTTGTATCATATCGTGATTCATATCGTGAGGAATGCGTATGGTTGCAGCCATCTAGATAGCATCAGGGCCAGTGGCTTTGTGGATGTTGATATTCTTCAGCAACTTCATCACTCCAGGAGGATGAATGACAATATCTGGCAGATCTGGGTAGGGGCTAACAACTTTATTGGGTACAGAAATAAATTCCTCCTTTGTATAGACTGATCTAAACTGTTGGTTGAAGTTGTTAGCCTTGCTGGTACCATTGCTATATAGTATTCCCTCCTACCCTATTGGTGAGAACCCAGTGTTTCCTGATCTTTTGCTTTTGATGCATCCCCAGAATGTCTTCGGGTTGGTGGTATGGTCTCCATCAAGCATGTTTGAGATGTATCCATTGTAGGCATTTCAGCATGAAGTCTGAGTGACCTGAAATTTGTCCCAGTCCCGCTTCTTTCCTGTGTCCTTAGCCTTCTTACAGCTTACCTTCTTCCTCCTGTAGAGTTACTTGATGTCCCGAATTATCCAGACCTGGCTATACCGTTGGGAGGTCAGCTTGGATGGTACAAGGTCCGACATGGGACTATTGCATCTGGCTGTAAAGATATTCCACGGCGTGTTGATATCAATGGCAATGGTCTGTCAGTTGGTGAAGTCTGAGGCAAATATCTCCATATTGGTATACAAGCTGTTAAAGTCAACATTTTTCCACAAGAAGATCTTTCATCCTGAGGGCCTGCTAAACTTTGCCTTGACACTGGCCTCAATGTATGCGATGGTGTCGTGATCACTTATGCCTGGTATTGGTGTGAATCGATTGATTAAGACAGGTCTGTTGGTAAAGGTTTCTAGAATATTATGCACTCTAGAAGAAAAGTTAATAATCTGGCTAAGGCCGGGCGCCTGTATCAAACTGGCTGTTCATGAAACTTTCATTTATTTCCTTCAGGTATCTGTTTCCACTAATGGTGTCCGTTTCCCAGTTTATATCTGGTAAATTGGCATCACCGACTAACCAAATTGTGGATTTCGTGTCGCTGTTCACAGACCTATAATAACTCTATTGACCTATCTGAAATAGGTCTTTTGAGGTATTTTCATGTGATATTATTTTTTAAGGAAAACGAAACAAAGTCGCTATTAAAAGAAGATTGTATCATTAGGTTGATAGCTAAAGACATAAAATATAAGTATTCTTTTTAAATGAAAAGAAATCGGAAATTGAACATTTATGAAAAATGAAAATAAACATCTAACTATATGCTTTTTGTATTCAACATTACCATAAACCTTATTGTTTATGCGACTTTGCTTTGATTTAATGAAAATTGAAATCTGAGAAAATATAGCTCAATACAGCTATAACGTATAGGTGAATATAGCTATCATAGGTCTTTATAGCTCAATCGGCAGAGTGTACTGGACCTGAAGTATGGGGCTTGTAGCATATCAGTTGAGCTTAACACAAATGTATGGATAAATTTGTTATGAATTATTACAGTAAGCCATGAACTGAAAAGTATTTGTAACTACTCACTGCTATTTCTCTGCATGCTGACATGGATATTCCAGTCCCTTCAATCTGTTTAAGTGCATACTCTCGTCCATCATTGCTGTTGTACAAGTAAAGAATATCCATATTATATGTGAAACAGTTCATGGATTTTAATTGGTACTAAGGAAGTTTGATAAAAATGTGTTAGAGGCCCTGAAAGTGAAATAATTTTATGCTTCAATTTTTGTTCTGTCAAACCTTCATTATCAGATTATTACGGGTTTTATCATCAGATCTTTATCCCAATAATGTTAAAGATTTAAAACGGCGATACAGCTCGACAGGCGTCATAAGTTCATAATACATGTATTTAATATTTACCAAGAAAATAATTAACAGAAAATCCTGTTCACCACCCTGGCTCGCCAGATACATACTTATATAAACAACTGTACTTACTTAACTACGCTTTTGTCTTTCCTTTTCGCCTTGTAGACATGACCATATGTACCTCGACCAACTTTGCAACCTTCAAACTCAAATAAATCTTCTACTTTAGCTCTTTCCTGTGCCGTTTTTAGCTTGTATTCGTAGTCCATTTTTTTTCTCTTCGCTTCATTCTTTGTTAACCAATACCAATGGACGCTTAACTTTCTGGCCTATCCAAATCAAACGCACAGATGACGAGGGAATATGGCTTTCTGTAAACGCAAAACCATATTTCGGATTTCAAAATCCGATTGTGGAGGGAAATCTATAAAGTTATAAAATAATAAGGAATAAAATATTTTAAAAATAACGTACTAAATTTCTTCCCGTAGATTAAAATTTCTTCCGGCATCCGACTTGGCGGTGACGGAAAATTACAATAAAACAATGTAAATGGGGGTGCAGGTGAGGTTCGAGTGGGTGGGTGGGTTTGTTGGATTAGTTCATAGTATCAGGGACGTATAGTACTGTCCCTGATAGTATATACCCCATTTGAAATAGGGAAACATTTTATTCCATTAGAAATACGAGACAATGTCAGTCCACGGAATTAGATTGTTATCTAAGTCCGTGGTTAGTCACAGAAAAAAGATCAGTCTCGTTTCTCGGATATTAACTTTGAGCCACATCAAATATCAATACAAGACTTACTATTTTTTTCGAACTATTAGCCCGTACGGACTGGTACATTGGTTTTTTAATTGATTAAGTGCAACACTGTTACAGGATGGGGCCCGGCAACATTTCTGATGCGTCTTTTTCATTTTATTTGACTATCCAATATATATATATCTTAATTATTCGTTCCCTCAATGTATTTTCACAGTGTGAAACACAATGGTAAACGCCTGCGTTGATATCAAACGTTTAAAGAGGAAAGGTGACATTTATGCCAAACGGCGCTCTTCTTTGTGCATTTTTATAAAAAATTTTTTAGAATGCTCTGCACGTGCACTGTTCATATACGCATGCACGGAGCAGAGACGTCTCTGCACTGAGTGAACAAATGCACGCCTCGGCATTCCTCCAAGACTCATGCCATCAGTCATAATGACTCTTAAGTCATGCCACAATACCACAAAGAATTGAATGACAAACAGTGGGGATTGTGATGCAATTTATGTGGAGTCAGCATTGTGACTAGGCATATAGCAAGGTATTTGTGTAAGACATACATATCGCGTTATCTTAACCTAAAGACACCACTGGTGCAAAGGCCATAACGACAACACAAGCGAAAGCCAGCTCTCAGCTATTCCGACTTGGAGCAGTGTAAGTATAAACTGTCACATATTCTAATATGGAAACTAGCTGCAACGGGACAAGTCAAATTATGTGTAGGAACCTCTGTATACCGGACAGATTAGAATATTTTATGTATACATGTATGAACCTCTGTATACCGGACAAGTTAGAATATTTTATGTATACATGTATGAATTCGAACCTCGGTATACTGGACACGTCAGATTCTATATACAGTACTAGTGAAACCATGGTTTACCGGAAACGGAACATTGGTTTGTCGGACAAGCCAGATTGTCTATAAAATGAAACCTTGGCATTCTGGAATTTAATATTCCTCAGATCAGGGAACACCGATACACATAATAAGTCACATGTTATAAAATGACGTGGACTTATACATATAGGGCAATCAAACATGTCGGGAACTGGGTCATTATTATGCGATCTCTAACAGTGATAGTCCAGTACCGTGAGACGAGAATACGAGTGTGTATTGTGTGTTCATGAGGGCCACATGATACACGGCCTTGTGAAAAGTACACAGGGTCAGGGGTCAATGGTATAATATGTCTGAGAAAGTCTACATACAGTTTAATCACAACAGAGACGTATGTCTGATTACAACTCCTATACTTCACACACAGAGTATCATCATTATAATATAATTCGAGGTTATATACCGCTTTATCACAACCTAACTTAGTTCGAATTCGAAGGTCGTCTCAAAGCGGTTCACAAAGTATATCTATCATCCGTGGTTATGGGGCCTTTGCAACTAGCTGCAGGAACCGTTTATTTTTTTTATTTTTTTTTATTATCGGGAACTATATATGGTCCGATAATATGTATTTTTTAAAACGATCGGGCCTAGAAGCTACGGTTCCCGCAGCTACTTTGCAACCAGCCAATATCTTTCTCAACTCCACGGGGAGCCATATGGTTCGAGGTTATATACCGCTTTATCACAATGCAACCTAACTTAGTCCGTAGGTCGTCTCAAAGCGGTTTACAAATTATTAACCGTGGTTATAGGGCCTTTGCAACTAGCTGCGGGAACCGTTTTATTTTTTTTATATTTATTTCTATGATCGGGGACTATATGGTCCGATAATTTAAAAAACTATAAGAAAAATAAAACGATCGGGCCTCGAAGCTACGGTTTTCGCAGCTACTTTGCAACCAGCCAATGTCTTTCTCAACTCCACGGGGAGCCATTTCAGCGCTCACAACTAGCATTCTACAATTCTAGCACTGTCCAACCATGTGGTCATTTACAGCTGAGTAGATTGGAACAAGTGGAGTAAAATATCTTGCTCAAAAGATACAACACAGTGCCGTGCCGTGACTTGAACCCGCAACCCTTCGGTTGGAGCCCGGCGTCGTACCACCAGACTACTGTGTCTCCTTAATGATTGTGGGAGACAACATACCGATTAGGTGTACAGTTCAGCATCTTATTCTGTTGCTGTAGAATTGTTTTTTTCTGTGTGCCATGCTGCGAAGACAAATTACTTATGACGATAATATTATAATGATTGTGACGCACAGTGAAACCTGTATAATGCCTGTCCTCTCAATTACCCCACACTTACTGCCAATACATTTCAAGACCCTCTAGCTCATGTTTCTCAACTCCTTTTTTTGTTTACTGCAAAATATTGCCAAATTGTTTTATAATGCCAACATTTCATTGAACTCGACGCTGGCAATCTAACGAAGTTTTACTGTATTCGAACTTGCGATTCATTGTCACTGACGGAAGCTTGAGACCACACATGCAATAAGAATATGTGTTATCACAGCATAACATTGCTTTATGCCATTGTCTTTTTTTACTGTCCAAACTTTTTTTTTTTTATTATTATTTTTATCTCAACACCGTTTTTATCTCAACACCGTTTTGGGCTTTTCCAATCACCATGCGTCCTTGGTCCGTGGTCCGTCCGTTCGTCCGTCATTCCGTCCGTCCTTAAACAATTTTTGTTAGCGCTATTTCTCAGAAAGTACTGGAGGGATCTTTCTCAATTTCACATGAAAGGGTTTCCCATGATCCCTAGCTATGCGTATCGTTTTTTTGGGACTGATCGCAAAACCAAAATGGCAGCCATCTTTAATTTGAAAGTTAAAGTTTGTTAGCGCTGTTTTTCAGAATGTACTGGAGGGATCGTTCTCAAATCTTACATGAATGTTTCAAATAATCCCTAGTTATGTATATCGTATTTTGGGACTGATCGTAAAACAAAGATGGCCGACAGCCAGCCATCTCGAATTTGAGAATGAAAGTATGTTAGCGCTATTTCTCATAAAGTATTGGATGGATCTTTCTCAAATTTCACATGAAGGTTCCCCATGATCCCTAGTTATGCATAGCGCTTTTGTGACTGATCACCAAACCAAAATGGTCAACAGGCAGCCATCTTAAATTTGAGAGTTAGTTTGTTAGCGCTGTTGTTAATTAGGTTCTGAAGGGGTCTTTCTCAAATTTTACATGAAGTCCCCCATGGTCCCTAGTTACGCATATCAAATTTTGAGACAGAAAGAAAAACCAAAATGGCCAGCAGACGGCCATCTTGAATTAAAATTTTGAGAATGAAAGTTTGTTAGCGTTATTTCTCAGAATGTTCAGGAGGTTTTTTTTCTCAAATTTCACATGAAGTTTCCCAATGGTTCCTAGTTCCGCATTTCGAATATTGGGGATGATTGGATAACCACGATGGCTAGCAGGTGGTCATATCGAATTTGGGAGTAAACGTCTTTTAGCCCTATTGCTCAATAAGTATTGGAGGGATCTTTCTCAAATTTCACAGAAGGCTTTCCCTTGTTCTTAGTTTTGCATATAAAATCATATCAGCCAGCAATCTTATTAGCTCACCTGGTCCGAAAGACCATAGTGAGCTTATGCCGTGGCGCAGCGTCCGTCGTCGTCGTCCGTTGTCAACTTTTTCTTTAAAACCTATCTCCTCCTAAATGTCAGAGAGGATTTCAACCAAATTTAGTCCGAAGCATCACTAGGGGAGGGCAATCAATTCTTTAAATACATGAGGTTGGTTCGACCCCTGGGGCCAGGGGGGGGGGGGCTTAAGAGGAACTTAGCTAAATTTGGTCTGAAGTATCAGTAGGGATGGGCAATCTTTTCTTAAATAAATGAGGTTGGTTCGACCCCTGAGGCCAGAGGGACGGGGCCCTGTAGGGGAACTTAGCTAAATTTGCTTTAAAACGCATCTCCTCCTACACCAGAGAGGATTTCAACCAAATTTAGTCTGAAGCATCAGTAGGGATAGGCAATCATTTCTTAAATAAATGAGGTTGGTTCGACCCCTGGGGCCAAGGGGCGGGGCCCTGAAGGGGAACTTAGCTAAATTTGTTTTAAAACGCATCTCCTAGCTGCTTAACACCAGAGAGGATTTCAACCAAATTTAGTCCGAAGCATCACTAGGGGAGGGCAATCATTTCTTAAATAAATGAGGTTCGTTCGACCCCTGAGGCCAGGAAGGCGGGGCCCTGAAGGCGAACTTAGCTAAATTTGCTTTAAAACGCATCTCCTCCTAAACACCAGAGAGGATTTCAGCCAAATTCAGTCTGAAGCATCATTAGGGGAGGGCAGTCATTTCTTAAATAAATGGGGTTGGTTTAACCCCTGAGGCAAGTGGGGCTGGGCCCTGTAGGGGAACTTAGCTAAATCTGCTTTAAAACGCTAATACCCCCTAATTGCCTGAGTGGATTGTACAAAATTTGGTCAAAAGCATTATTGAGGAAGAACAAACATTTCTTAATTGAATGAAGTTGATTTGAACCCTGCAAGATTCTTTAAAATCCTTCTTATTCTGTTGGAATGCAAAAGGGAGGTGCCCAACAGGGGAAACATAGCGATTCTTCAAAATCCTTCTTCTTCTGTAGGAATGACAGGATTTTGTCCAAATTTGGTATGAAGCATCCTTGGGCGAAAGGGAACCAATTTTGTATAAAGGGTGCTTCTGACCCCACTGGAGGCAGAGAGGCGGGGCCCTATAGGGAAAATAGAGGTAAAACCTTTAAAATCCTTCTTCAGCCATAGGGATTAAGGGATTTTATCATAATTTAGTCTGAAGCATCCTTGGGCCAAGGGGACTCAATTTTGTATAAACAGCGAGTGTGGACCCCTGGGGCAGAAGGGAGGGGTCCAATAGGGGAAACATAGCGATTCTTCAAGATCCTTCTTCTTCTGTAGGAATGACAGGATTTTGTCCAAATTGGGTATGAAGCATCCTTGGGTGAAAGGGAACCAATTTTGAATAAAGGGTGTGTCTGACCCTCCTGGAGGCAGAGAGGCGGGGCCCAATAGGGGAAATAGGGGGAAAACCTTTAAAATCCTTCTTCTACCATAGGGATTAAGGGATCTTATCCTAATTTAGTCTGAAGCATCTTTGGACCAAGGGGACTCAATTTTGTATAAGCAGTGAGTGTGGTCTCCCAGGGGGAAGAAGGGTCGGGTCCAATAGGAGAAATAGAGGTAAAACCTTTAATATCCTTCTTCGACCATCGGGATTAAGGGATTTTATCCTTATTTAGTCTGGAGCATCCTTGGGCCAAGGGGTCTCAATTTTGGATAAACGGTGGGCATGACCCCCTAGGGTCATAGGGGTGGGGATCTGTTTGAAGTTTGTTCTCGCTATATCTCAAGTACTGGATGGATGTCTCTGAAATTACATATGTACTTACAGCACCTACCATGGAGTGCTATATCTTTACTTCATACCAATTATTTTAAACATATTCAGGTGAGCGATACAGGCCCTCTGGTCCTCTTATTATAAATCATTACAGTGTTATAGCTAGCGGGGGCTGGTATGAGACATGTATTGCTTTAGCAATACTCAGTATGCTTGTTCATTTTCTTTATTATCCATTTGTTAGCTCACCTGGTCCGAAGGACCAATGTGAGCTTATATATGCCATACCATGGCGTCCGTCGTCTGTACGTTAACAATTTCTTTAAACGACCTCTTCTTAACCACTGATTGCAATTTAACTAAAATTGACTGGAAGCATCCCTAGGTGGTGGGGGTTCAAAATTGTACAAATAGTTGGGCTGACCCCCGCAGGAGCTGAAGGGCGGGGCCAAAAGGGGTCAATTTGGCTATATTGCTTTAAGCGACTTCTTCTCTGGAACTAAGAAATGGATATCAACCATATTTTACTGGAAGCATCCCTTGGTGGTGGTGATTCAAAATTGTACAAATGGTTGGGCTGACCCCCAGGGGGTTGAGGGGCGGGGCCAAATAGGGGCAATTTGGCTATATTGCTTCAAACGACTTCTTCTGTAAAACTGTGCAATGGATATCAATCTTATTTGATCAAAAGCATCCATGGGAGGTAGGGATTCAAAACTGTACAAATGGTTGAGCTGACCCCCCTGGGGGCTGAGGGGCAGGGGCCAAAAATGGTTATTTGACTATGTTGCTTTAAGCGACTTCTTCTCTGGAACTAAGTGATGGATATCAACCATATTTGACTGTCAGCATCCCTAGGTGGTGGGAATTCAAAATTGTACAAATGGTTGGGCTGACCCCCGAGGGGGCTGAGGGGTGGGGTCAAAACGGGGCAATTTGGCTATATTGCTATAAACGACTTCTTCTGTAGAACTATGCCATGGATATCAATCATACTCGGTTGAAAGAATTCATGGGAGGCATGCAGGGATTCAAAATTGTACAAATGGTGGGACTGGCCCCACCCTTTGAGACATAGTTCCCAGGTTATAACTTTAAAACGGATGAGATCCCAACCCCAAAACTATGTATACAAATGCTGGGCATAAAGAGACGAATGCNTCAGACGACTTCTTCTGTAAAACTATGCAATGGATATCAATCTTATTTGATCAAAAGCATTCATGGGAGGTAGGGATTCAAAACTGTACAAATGGTTGAGCTGACCCCCCTGGGGGCTGAGGGGCAGGGGCCAAAAATGGTTATTTGACTATGTTGCTTTAGGCGACTTCTTATCTGGAACTAAGTGATGGATATCAACCATATTTGACTGGCAGCATCCCTAGGTGGTGGGAATTCAAAATTGTACAAATGGTTGGGCTGACCCCCGAGGGGGCTGAGGGGTGGGGTCAAAACGGGGCAATTTGGCTATATTGCTATAAACGACTTCTTCTGTAGAACTATGCCATGGATATCAATCATACTCGGTTGAAAGAATTCATGGGAGGCATGCAGGGATTCAAAATTGTACAAATGGTGGGACTGGCCCCACCCTTTGAGACATAGTCCCCAGGTCATAACTTTAAAACGGATGAGATCCCTACCCCAAAACTATGTATACAAATGATGGGCATAAAGAGACGAATGCAGTCATGATATTAGAATAGACCCTGGGGTCTGACCGAACCCCTCGGAACTTAGTTTCTTAGTCACAGCTTGGAAACAGTTGAGATCCCCACCCTATAACCATCTATACAATTGTTGAGTATAAAGAGATAAATGCACATATGCTTCCATTATGGCCTTGGGGTTTACCCCACCCATGGAGACTTAACCCCTGGGTCATAACTTTGAAATGGCTAAGATCCCCCCCCCCCCCCCCACACANTGGGCATTAAGAGACGAATGCAGTCATTACTTGACATATGTGACAAATACGTTCATGCCTTGGTATATTATTCCAACTTCCAGTTTCGTCATATAAAAAAATACTACTTCGGGTTCTAAACCGATCAAGAGACGTAACATCTTTTTAGAGAGAATATTTAAGCAATTTTCGAATTTATTTTCTTCCTTAAATACTCTAAAAATGGTGGATTTTGGAAAGTCTCTGCATATTTCTGCCCAGTTTTGTTTGAACAGATCAGTCAAGTTAAGTTTTCTTTTTGAAAAAATCCACTTTAGTTAATTGGATTTAATTTAACCATATATTAGAGAGTCCACAATTGTTCAGAATGCTCCTTATGTTTTCCATCTATGCGATGGAACAATTTTTTTCTTCGTTACTTATAACTGATAATCTATACAATATATTATTTTCAATGTACTTTTCTTTCACAAATGGCGCTCTGCACCGCAAATGTGATTCTACAAACACACAAGGGCCTGACAATCCGTCACAGTAGGTACCGTGATGTGTAGAGGTAATTTCTACTGAGTGTTGATATAAACCCTTATTAAAACGTCTAATATTACTTTCTACAAATCACAATGGTTAAAAAACCTAATTAGGCTAAATGTAACAAGTTTTCAGGCGCCTTCGGGCAAACACAAGTGTTAGTATCATGAACATTTGTCTTCATTGCAATAATCACAAAGACATTTCATAAAGAAATAGCGAAACAGAGATTTATTTACTTATATTTATTATAACAGAATTTCGGCAACAATGAAAACCTGGCTAGCGACATCACTGGGAATACTTGTTGCCGTAGCAACTTCTTACTACTTCCGGTGGACAACGCCTCACCAATTCGTCCGGAATTTTAATAAGTCTTATGATTATATCATCGGTAAGTGGTGTTTTTTTTATTGGATGATAACTGGAACTGTTGGCACATAAGATATACGAAATTAACCGCCATAACAATAGTTTTATCATTTGAATTGAACTGATAGCAGTAAAACCGTTTTGGTGCTTTGGACATTTCACCAACTTTATTTGAATCAACACACCGTATTGTTGATGCGTGAAATGCACTTTTTATTTATTAAGAGAGGAGAAAGATTTAGGACGCGAATCATATACTGAGATAATTGTCTAAAACTCTGAAATTGTGAGTGTTTCTGGAAATCCTCCGTTACTATTTTGGTCCAGTTGGCGGGGGCGCAGCAGGTTTGGTTTTAGCCAATCGTCTGTCAGAAGATGCTGACGTCACTGTTTTGGTGTTGGAAGCGGGAAACTCCGAGTCTGATAAACCGGTATACGATATTCCGTACAACGCCCCTAAAGCCCAAATGACCGAAGCTGATTGGATATACCGGACGGTACCGCAGAAACATGCGCATTTCGGTATGAAAGATAAGGTAGGTTTTTCTATACATAACCTGGTAGACTAGTGTGGTGAAAGTGCCTAGTAGGTGCTGGTTATCAAGCCTTCTGATCAGATGTCACGTGACTGAGCGAGGACAGCTCTTGACGATTGAACGACTGAACCGAACTGACGTGTGCTGCATAGCCCGTAGATATAACGACCTGATAACTCTATCGTTTTCGCTAGGACCTTTCAGCCTGGTGGACCTCACCCGAACGTTCGACAACTATCCTGGTCAATTGCCATTTTAGTTAATAGAAATACAATATTGGCGACGAGGAAAATTGGTTTTTATTTGCTAGCGGGGAAAGCACGTGTTTGTAAATTGAAACAACATGCATGCATGCAAAATTGTAGCTCCATGCAAAAGGCTGTAGAGGCAATTGAGAGGTACCAGTGTTTACAAACCCTACAGCAACAGATCGCTAAGCTGTCGGCCAGTATGGAGTCGAGGTTCGACTCTCTCCAATCTGACACGAGGCCCCGCTGTCTAAGCCAATCTCCATACATGACACGAACCAGATCACCATCCATTTCTTTCAGATGCAGAGAGCCAGCCCATTTCGCCAGTGATTGCACGAAAAAAGAGGATGTACATACCATGAGCCCCCGGAAGGGTAATTTAAACACCCAATGGTCGGGACAATAGGCCAAATCCTAGACCCAAAACAACAACCTGGCCTAGGTAGGTCTAGTCCCGAAGATGCGGATTCCCAGGACAATACACCGCGTGAATGTAGGGTTACTGTGGCCCAGCGGAGAATGATTCATCCGAACTCGGTGGTACTAATAAAATGTCATCTTGACGGGATTCTGCCGGATTTCATCGACCCTTACTCCCAAGGAATTCAGTGATTTGTCCAAGCTTAAACGCGAGTTCCAAGATGTGTTTGCTAAGCATACCTTTGACTTGGGTAGCTTTAGGGAGATCGAGCATGATATTAACACTCGAGCTGCCGCTCCCATTAAACAGCGGATGAGACGTACTCTCCTCAATCTGTAAAGGAGGAGGAGAGTGAAATCGCGAAAATGCTGGAAGCAGGAGTTATGCAACCATCCAATTCGGAGTGGGCCTCAGCTCCAGTATTGATCAGGAAACGGGATGGGTCCGTGAGATTTTGTATCGATCATAGGGCCCTGAACAACGTAACTGTGAAAGACGTCTATCCCCTTCCTTTAGCTGAGGAGTGTGTGGACACTTTAGCGGGGACCCAGTGCTTCTCCAAACTCGATGCTAATTCTGTGTACTGGCAAAGACCAATAACGGAGGAGGATCAGAGAAAAACAGCCTTTGTAAACAAATATGGGGTGTTTGAGTATGTCAAGATGCCGCTTGGTCTGACCGATACACCAGTTACCTTTTTAAGGGTGATAAATCTTGTGCTGAGGAGTCTAAACTGGAAAACGGTCTTGGCATTCTTAGATGATATCCTAGTCCTGGGCAACAACTCTCTCTGGAGATGTCGAGGGGCGACATCGAAACCGTTAGAGACTGGCAACCCCGACAACCTCTAAGGATGTGGAACGATTCCTGGGGTTAACCAACTATCATCGAGGGTTCATTAAGGACTTTGCGGAAATCGCGGTCCCATTGTACCAGGTGACTGGAAAACAGGGGTTATCTTGGAAGGAACCGCAACAGCGGGCCTTTGACACCTTAAAAGAGAGACTGGTTAATCCACCGGTGCTAGCTCACCAAACGAGACGGACGCATTCATCCTGGACACGGATGTCTCCAATGAGGTCATTAGAGGAGAGTTCATTCAGGTACAAGGGGGCACGAGCGGGTGATCAGTACAATATGGTATTGCGACACCGGAAAGGGACACTGCACGACAATGCAGACGCATCAACCGATACCGGTTGATTGCAGGTGGCTGGCAGATTACAGACAGCCAGCGGGTGGCCATGGACTATCTCTGCAAGGCGAAGGGTTGGCTAGTCTTTGCCATCATCAACCCTGACTGACTTGAGGCTCACGTATGCCGAAGCTATCCCTCAGCAGGTACCTACACCAGTGGGTTTGGAAGCAATCCATGAAGAAAACCCAAAACCTTCTGGGGAGCTCGATGTCGAGTCCCCTGACGTGGACCTTCAACCACTGCTCCATGCCTTCTATAGCAATTTCCACCCGGACCGGACCCGTCGGAAGCTTAGACTAAGGAAGGACGCCTCAATGAAGGATGTAGAAGCCGCGATACCTGTCACGTCTACAGAATATGCACGCAGCATGTCTGGAATGGCGATATTCTGCGACCCCGTGACCTATCCTTTCCATGGGGAGATACAAGAACTTACCCGGAACGGGTATTTGGTGACGATCGGAGTGCACCCAAATCACCTCCTCACCCCGTCCCGTCACCTGGATCTCTTACAGGTCCCAGAAGTGGCAGTATTTGGCGAGGTGGGGATCGACTAACCGTTCGTTCCCTGGACATGTGGTTCCGCCAGGAGCAGCAGTTGCGGAGCCTTCTCCCGTACATCCGGTCCCACCAGGCACTCATCCTACACATTCGGGGCTTCAAGCCTACATGTACATGAGGTGCCTGGATGGTAAGGGAGATGGTCCCACCAGAGCAGAAAATCTAGCTGCACTGCTTCAGTGGCACGGAAGAAGTCATCCAGGCCTAGCTGACGCGTTTCCCGAACACCTACTTCAGCGTGTCAGGAATGGTGTCGAAGTTTAATTACGCCCAAAGTCAAGGTGTGAAATGTATCCCACCCACCAGACTCCTAATCGAGACAGACGCTCCTTAATTGTCGGTCAGCCCCAAGTTCCCCTGCAGCGCCCCACACTCGTTGGACCATACCGCCCGTCGTATCTCTCCGATCCGGGGGGGNAAACAACCTTTTCTGAGTCCAGAGAAGCGGGAGCCATGATACCACGATCCTGGTCAGTTGCCATTTTAGTTTGTATAAATTGGATCAATTAAACTTGAATTGCACACGGGCTCCCTCCGCTTAATTAAACTCAAACTTCACATATGGAATAGAATAACCTTTATTGAACGTCGTGTACATGTACATTGTCAACAACAAACAGAAGCTCTGTAGAGCTTTTATTACGACGCCGCTAAGGGAACAAATGCTGTTTTCGTGTTGGAGGAAAACCCATGTGGGAAAACCACCGTGACGTCGGAGGGATAATAACTAACCCTATCAGATATCACTCTCTTCTTCCGCCACTGCTGGAGTTAGAACCGAAATTCTCTAAGACAGTGAGTGGTCTGAAGCTCACACTTGATTACACACACTAATAATGACTGTACGCGTTAGCTACCACGGCTACCGAGGTACCCAAAACGGTATGGATTGGTTAGCTCAAATATACTCAAATTACATACATGGCTTTGTTGACTCGATCAATACTTCATACAAGGGTTCCTTGGCTTGATCAAACTTCATACAGGAATTCATTGACTCAATAAAATTCAAGCATCGTATCAATTGGACTCGCATGATTCAATCAAACTCATACACAGTTTTTAAAGAAATTATGATTATGAAATCAATTCACGTTCAAGGGTTAACCAAAATAAAACTCTTTTTTTCAAACTTGTAGATAAGTAATCCTAACTAGTTTATGAAATCAAGTCACGTGTCCGTTTTGACCCCAGGTTGGCATTTGGCCTCAAGGGAAGGGTCTTGGAGGATCCACCCTTCTGAATGGACTTGCCTATGTCCGGGGTAGTCGTCATGACTACGACGCCTGGGCAGCCAATGGTTGTGAAGGATGGAGCTACGACGAAGTTTTACCGTACTTCCTCAAAACGGAGGATATGCGCGAAACAGATGGATTCGATGAAGGTAAAATGCGCGTACATGTACATTACGCACAGGAGCTTTATATTGGTACGGTTGAGTGGGTAGACTTGTAATAATCAATTTGCATATATCAAGCCAAAAACAAAATCAACATTCACGGCATATTTACATAAAAACTGGATATTCTGTTGGGTATGTCTTAGAATCATCCACAACTTTTCATATATACAGAATTTCAATGAACCTAAAGCATGTCACCTTTCATGAAAATGCCCCATAAACGTTCGACGGCCTGAGGGCTGGGTCCCCAATAAGGAAATTTTGGGTATAAGATGTGCTTTGTTAAAGAATATGAAGATACACACCATATAACCACGTACACACATAGAGAAATGTATATATACACCCATATTACCAGGAATGCCACTTTCATGTCATAACATGGAAACAGTTCAGATTTCAACCCTATGGACATATATAATTGCTCGGCATGAAGAAACGAACACACCATTCTACCAAGATAAACTCAGGGAGTCAGTCCCTCCCATGCTTAATAGATGATCTAACATGGAAACTTTTTAGTTCTCAAACCTATCACCGTTTCACAGATGTACGAATTATACTACCTAAATTGTCTCTGGGATATTGTCTGCTCCTGGGGATTTTATCCTTATATGTTGTAAGCTTATATTTTTTGTACTCTTTTGATAAACATATACGCTTTCAACAGTTTTGTAATAAAACCAAAAACTATGCTATAACATTGTGCTTCTTGTTAAACATAACATTAAAACGTTTGTGACATTCAGACAATAATATACGACCGTACATCACCAAGGAATATATGTCGCATATAAAGTTCTTTCACGATGTACAATCCTCGCAAACACATCGTCAGAAGATCAACCATGAAATGTATACCAGCAAAATTATTTTAATGAGCTATATCTACTGATGGTCTTTGCCAAAACAACTTACCATTACGAAACTGGAAATGTGAAGAGTACAAATTAAAATAAATCTCTCCAATCTCTTTCCATTAAAAAGATAAAAATAAAGAAAAACAGACGAACAAAAAAATAATATTTTAGCTTCATTGAAAACTTGTTTGGAAACATTTCAATGTTTTTACTCGCAACAGAGTACCACTCCCGTGGAGGGCCCATCACTATATCAGACACCACTAAGTCTGAAGTAGCGCAAGTCTACTTGGAGGCAGTAGAGGAGATCGGGTTCAAAGTTCACGACTGTAACGGAAATAATGGTATCCAAGATGGCGTCTGTCGGATGCAGGCCATCGTTGGAGGTGGACAAAGGTGTAATGCCGCCAGGGGGTTTCTACAGCCGGTTCTTGAAAGGAATAATTTGCACGTGGCAATCCAGTCACACGTTACCAAGGTACGTAACTCTTGCTATTTGTGCATCTGCTGGTTGGTGTCCCATTCTCATTATTCGGTGTTGTCTTCTTCTCGGATCCCGTTGTTTACTTGTGTCTTTTCAGTTCCTGTCTTTGACTTTTTATATCGTCTGAAATATTTGATGTTAAAGAGTATGTTTCTTTCTTTCTTTAATCTACTTAACAGGTTAGGATTGAAAACAAGCAAGCAGTGGGTGTTGAGTTTATCCAACATGGCAGAAAAAAGTCCGTGGCAGCTAAGCGAGAGGTAATACTCAGCGCGGGGTCTGTTGGGTCAGCACAACTGCTGATGTTGTCGGGGGTGGGGCCAAAAGACCACCTTACAGAGCTAGGGGTGAGTACTGCACAGGGGAACATATCTAATTAGGTACTGTGTTTTCATGCGTTCCTTGAAACCGGATATTAGTCCCTGTGATTATATTACGGTTTGTTGATACCTTCGAGTATCGCGCAGCAAATATATACATAAGGTACCTGTTTCGAAGATCTAAAGTTCTGTATTTATCAGATGTTTTGATCCATACCTATGTATTATTTGATCGTTAAAATGTTTCCTGCCGCTTAGGTTTGTTGTGATCCAAACGGTTTGACCGGGTGGACTAGAAATATTCGTTTATGAAATAAGGTTGGACCTAGTAATCTGATGCTGCTTTCAGGCGGGCTTTGAGGAAGCCTTGCAAGGCCTGCATAAACATTTGCAGGTCCGCCACGATTTATACCCGAAAATGTTACATTAAAAACAGACAAACAGATTGTTCTGCATAAACGAACAGGCCCGTGTACTTGCGTCTCCTATATAGTTTTTATACGACAACTGGCTTTACACTGTCTCATGTGTCCTCAAGTTAAAGTTACTGGACTGCTTTTATCAAGACATTTTTTCAGTCTTTGAAATATTTTTAGAGAACGGGAGTATTTCAAACATCCATATAAAATTTCACAAACAGTATAGTAGGACTAATAAGGAGAACGTTTGTATATCTTTATAAACCAATGTTTAAATTATTATTTAAAGCTTGAGTCAGGCAACATCTGGAATACGCTGCCAGCGTCTCGAGTCCACACAGAGCAAAAGATATCGATCTCCTTGAAAATGTTCACTGAATAACAACAAAACTAATACCGGGGCTAAAACATCTAACTGATCGTCTACAAAGATTAAACTTGCCAACATTGAAGCACCGTTGAATGAGGGGAGACATGATAAATGTATATAAAATCATGAATAATATGTATGATTATAGAGTCACTTGACAATAACAGAGAAAAAAATAGGACACTCCCAGAAAATCTCCAAACGACGTAGCCTTTTAGATATAAGAATTATTTTTTTCAGTTTCCGAATTAATCGTATAACTCGAAGTATTTCATCGGTCCCGGCCAAAACTCTTCTTAATCTTAGTAATAAAAACTCTGATAATTCGAACTCTGAAAACTCGAAAAACTCGGATATCCCGAAGTGAAATATCGGTCCCAACAACGTAAATCCTACATAAAAATATCTCCTACCTCGAAGTGTCTTAAGATTCACAAGTCTTTCATATATTCTTTAATTATTTGATACATATTAGACGCAGTGCTACGGTAAACAACCTTCTCGTTGAGCAGCTTACGCTCGGTCATAATTACCTCGATTAAACTTATGGCATTAAAATGTGTTTGAAGAAACAAACTTAATCAATGTATGTAATTGATACACACAATTGTGAAATTTGAAATTCTGATCGATGAACACGGGAAAAATAATTGTAATTTTAATATTTATGAACATTAATTTCACCTGAATTGTATTTTATCTGATGTAATATATGTAATATTGTGTGTAATTGTATTATTTTGATATGGAAACAGGGGCTTAAAGTCTGCGTCCGTTACAATTACTAGTAAATCTTAATAAAGATTTCTATGGAACTGAGAGATACTTTACAATGCTATACAGATTCCAGTTGTTGCAGACCTGCCTGTAGGGTCCACATTGAGAGATCACATGATGTTCTTCACGAAGGCTGACATTAAGAAGCCGGTCAGTTACACAAACGCCAAGGTCTTCACGCCGCTAAACTGGCTCAAGTACTATTTGTTCGGAACAGGTTGGTTTGCATTTTTGTGATCTTGTTGAGAAGAATCAACACCTAGTTTTCACAACTTCGACATCCTATGTACTGGCGATTTGTGTACAGAAAACTAGCTGATGGTCCTTACCGTCAGATCGCTTTGCTGGCTCAAGTGTTTTCTGCTCGGTACATGCAATTATTTGGGTCTAGAAACTGACTAAGCATGATACATGTAAGAAACATAATCTTTTTCCATACTTGAACATCCTATTGCATATAAGTAAACGCATAGAGAACAGTGCATGTACGTTCTGTATTGTCCAAGGCTTGAAATCGAACACAATCAAAGAGTTTTACTGAAATGAAATTGGAGGGAATCCTGTTAAAGGGAGGATGAAATTCAAATAAGAAAAAAACTCTAAGGTACTCGATATCGAAAAATGTTCTCGGGAAAATAATGTATTTTTGTATATGGGTTTTGTATGAATATGGCAGAATGATCACAATTGTTGCATTTGCTGATACATGTACTAAGCGAGCTTTGTATAACCGTGACCTTTCACATTGTGAAACAAATATCAATCAGAATCTTCTTTATCCCTTGGTATCCATTCAGCAAAATGTTCAAGGTTGTTGACTCGTATTGAGTCAAGAAAATATGTTTGCGTAGTTGTTTTCTGTTGGCCTCTGAGCTAAGAGCAGTAGGGATCCTGGTTACCCTACGGTAGTGATACGTTGTCAGTGGTGGTAGGAGAAGGATTGGTTGGTTATCAGTATAATAAATATAATCCAACTGAAAAATAACTTGATTTATGTTTGTTAACACTCTTGCCCAGGTTTGATGACAAGTAATGCTGCTCTAGAAAGCCAGACATTTATCCGGACAGATCCAGACAGTAAAACTCCGGATATTCAGTTGACACTCGTGAGTACCTTGGAGGAACATGGCGACTCGTACGGACACTTCAACTATAGAGACGAAGTGAGTGTAGGTTAAGGGGATATACCAAAAAGTTCTGGTTGTTTTCTATTCAACCATGTCGGTCATAATGATATAGTTCAAAATCCCTTCAACAATCAATGACAAGATTGTTTGCCGTTTTGAATTGTATATGATACTTTTAGGAATCTGTACTCGTATGGTTATACTTTTAATTGGCAGCACCCTTGATATCCAGGAGTTGCACTCACTTTCGCTCCCTGCACCCCTGGAATATGTCATAGCAAAATCTAACGCTCGGTGTGCAGCACCCTGTGCTTTTGATAAACATCAAAATAATCTCGCGGTCGCGTAATGGTAAACTTACTCAAAGCTGTGTCAACAAGTCGTTTCCCCCGAGTCTGTCTTCCTATGGAATTGTGAGGCTATCCATGATTCCTATGATAATGTCGATGAAGGGGTGCGCCAAATTTAAAAGGGTAGAATGCATGAAGTTAGGGTCCTTGCGTTCATGGACACTCCTAAATCGATCTTTTTCATGAAGGGATGCCTGTTGCCCTTTAAAGTGGCCAGACGTCACTCGCACAATTTTATCTTAGCTCAGGTCTTTGGCGGGTCTCCGGATTCAGTCGCGGATTTTTCTCTGGGTGGCGCTTTTTGTCGCTGCTTGCCAATCAGATCAAAACTAGTTTCTTGTCCGTTCGCATGCCGCATTGTTTGTTAATGGATGTTTTACCAGGGTTTTGGTATTTGGCATTTCTGCTGGTTTGTTTTTAATCCTTCTGGAGTTTTCGGTGGTTTTGTTACTGTTCTTCTGTGGGTAATTCCATTGGTATGTTCTATTGTGGGTGTAGTTTTATTCATCGTCAACTTCCCAAAGAAATAAAGCGTGACACAGGTGACTTCGTCTTCGGGTTCTCTTATAGTTGAGTACGTAAACTTTCGTTAGGGCATATTTCCGATACCGGGCCGATTAAAAGAGCGTCGGTTAAATGGTTTTGTTTTGTTTAATTTTATTTAACGTCTTATTAACAGCCAATGTCATTTAAGGACGTGCCTCCATGTGTGTATGTGTGCACGAACACGGGCGTTTTGGTGTGCCTGCCTTCTTGTGATAGCGCGGATCTGATGCCGACTTTATAGTGCTATCTCACTGAAATGCCATGTCGAAGGCACCAAGCACAGCATTCTGCCCGGTCACTTTATACTGACAACGGGTGTACTAGTTGTTGCCATTCCCATTTATGCTGAACGTTAAGCAAGGAAGAAAAACTACCATTTTTAAGGACTTAAGTTTGTCCCGGCCTGGGGACAGAACCCAATGCCTTCCTCACCTGGGCGAACGCTCAACATTCAAGCCAAAAGTGAGGTGTTGCTAAGCAAGGCGCTAGGAAATGAAAGGTAGTTAGAAGTAGAAAGAATGATAAAGATCCCAAATATTGCAAGATTTATTTTGGTCGCTTTTGTGTCCCAAAATAGAGGACACCAAAACAAATCCCCAATTCTGCAGTGGTTTCCCACAATAGTCGCCTCCTACGATACATGCGGTGGGTAACAGCAGGTGCATTCTTTTCCCGATCCCCCACCTGCAGGGGTGAGCGTCGATTGACCGAGGATTTAAAAATATAATATTTTGGTATATCATAGTATTACCTATACTCGGATTTTGTCCTTTGTTTAATTTTAAAACCGAAAATGTCATTCCTAGATCAACGAAGCTTTGTTCCAGTCTATTCACGGACTGGATGCTGTGCCAGAAGGATTTTCTATCGCTGTGGTCCTTATTCAGCCCAAAAGCAAGGGTTCCCTGCGCCTGGCTAGTCGTGACCCATTCGACTACCCCATACTGGACCCAAATTACTTGGCCGATCCCGAGGACGTAAAAACGTACATCAGGGGTAAGACTTGGATATGTCAGAGACAACATCTACAACAGAAATAAGTCTCTGTTACCAGGTTATATACATTAATAAGTAAGTTTAATTAAGTAAAAATCATTATCTTTGTCAGAGGTTAGTTTCTATTACGTCGTAGACGGCATATGTATAATAAATAAGTCACTGTTACGTCAGTGTTGACATTTTTATCAATGTTAAGTCGCTGTTACGTCTATGTCAATATCTTTATCAGAGGCAAGTTTCAGAAACGTCCTGGTTACATGTAGTCCTAGTTAAATTAATTAAGAAGATCTTTATATTATTCACATCACATGTGTTATCAATTCTGAACGTTAACATATGAAATATAATTTTAGCTTGCTCGTATTGTCATGAAATAACCACTACAAACATTACGATATGAATTCTAATAAGTTAATTTTTCCCCCGTCTGGAAGGAGTTCGACATGTTCAAAAATTGTTGAAAACTGAAGCGTTGAAGAAACTAGGGACAACAGTTCGTACGATTGACATACCCGGATGTCGAGAAAAGATTCCAGACTCTGACGAACAATGGGAATGTTTCGTGCGCCATCTGGCGACAACAATATACCATCCAGCATCTACATGTAAAATGGGACCGCTCTCTGACCCAACGGCAGTAGTGGACCCACAGCTGAGGTGATTCAATTGGCCATTTCATACGATGTCTGTAGATATGTTGATCTCAATTGTGAACCGTCGGCACTTTCCGTAAACGAGAATATTCTCGTTTACGGAAAGTGCCGACAGTTCCCGATTGTGCTCATCTTACTGCGATACGCATCTCCTTTCAAATAAGAGTAATGAATTTACTACAGTATGCTAGTGAAATGCATTGAATCGATCAGCTTGATAAATCTGACATTTTCACACTGTTACCGATATGAAAATTCATACTTTAAACGGTGTAATGATCTGTCATTTTTTTCTATTGCCCAATCAAAACGGTTCTTTCTATTCACTGCACAAGAGACGCATTAAAAATGGCCCTGCAGCCTGATTTTGTTCTTAAATACCAAACTATTTTGATGAAGTTATATTTCGTCGTTGAAGTTGAAGAATGCTATATATATCTCACTCGCATGGCAGAATTAACCGATAATTTCACTGGACCATGATTCTCACTCGTGGAGAATGTTAGTATTCTACCACACTCGGGAAATCTGTGGCATTCGACGAGAAACCATTACAGATCCTTTATGTTTTTATGGTACGACCCGAAAAGAAGGTATCTTCACCGTAAACTTTAACTCCATTATAAGTCATATTTAAAGACCCCCCATGGAACATCTGCTTTGAGATATGCGAGTTGAACATATTGAATTTGATCTTGAGTTATTAAAATGATTCAAAGAAAATAAAGTTATTATTTTGAAAAAGGGACTGATGCCTTCACCGAACAAATTCATCAACATTATGACATGGACATCTCGTTGTAGCCATTCTAAATCCCAGGAAATGACACCTAAGATTTATATACCTAGGCCATGCGAAGCTTAATTGCCTTGTCCTAGCTATTGATGGGCATACCGAGCTCCAATCAAGATGGCCGTGGCTAGTCGGAAACACAAAAATCATAGCTTGACATGTAATGATCATTGTGAATAGAGGTACCATAATGTGTATAACACGTGAAGCTCATTTATGAACACATCACATGTTACGAGAGGGCACGTTGTATGGAATTTATTTATTAATTGAGGTCACAAATTTGATTAAATCTACAAAATTATGAAAATTATGAATGCACTTTCATTGTCTATTTCTTATTCTAGGGTGAAAGGCATTTCTGGATTGAGAGTAGCTGATTGTTCTGTCATGCCCAATCTCACTTCCGGTAACACTATGGCACCTACGTTCATGATTGCAGAGAAAGCTGCTGATCTTATTCGGGGAAAAGTGACGGTCAAACCTCGGGGAAGCTGACAAACGTATTGATATACTGACAGGGGTGTTGAAAAGAGGTTATACCATTAAGTGCTCTAACTCCATTTTGGATATATGCATAAAATTATATGTTTGTTTAGTTGAAATATATTTAATTGTAAAATATGTGAAAATGAATCAGATTCAAATTTTGGCAATTTGCAAAGATCTTTGCAATACATAGTGTATAATATGCTTATATGTCACGTGATGATAATAAGATCAAGGGCAACAGTTAAAAGCTTTGCTGACGTGTTTTGTTATCAAAAGCAAACGTTGCCCGGAAGACACATGCGAAAATGTAACCAACCGCGAGCTCGTATTATACCAGTTACTAGGAGCAGGTATTCTGCTAGCTGTGTCACTATCGGAGTTATTCTATATCATCATCATAAATCATCTGTTATCTAAACTATTTTGTGGACTCTAAGATAGCATTATTTGGTTTTGACACAAAGTTTTATTAGCGAATAAAAATCTTACGGATAATTTGGTAATCTTCTGAGTAAGTGTTTTCTAAATATCCTTTTTGCAGGTATCCAAAAGGTTTCCATTGCAGACTCTGTTTCACTTTATGCAAAACCATGATCACTTGCTGGTCTTTGTTTAACCTGAGCCTACCTGCTTATACATCATTTTGCTTCACCAAACATTGGACTATCACGCCTCTAGATAATGCTGCATCGATGATATTGTTTGGTGATTGCCCCCAACGCATTCAGTTTGTTTGTCGTCGAAAGCTGTTATTTAATTATTTTGTTTTATGCAACAAGCAAATATCACAGGAACATGTTTATTTGAATATGATTGTAGTTGAACTGAAAGGTTATAAATAAAATACAGTACAATTTTATGTCATATTTTTTGTGTGTAATATTATCAAATCTTTTCTAAGCAGTTTAGGCATATGCACCTATGTATATAAAATAAAACAAGGAAACGCCCCCTCTAACTCTTATCATCATATCATACTTTTATCTAGAGCACATCATTTAATCGGAGCCCCGAAGTGATACGACAGTCAATCAAACACGAGTGTCAGCTGTATACATGTATCTTGAATTGGTTTTCATTCGCCGAGTGTAAATAATTAAAAACCATGTTCTAGTTATAATCAGCAACATATACTCTATATATGTCTTAAAAATCGCCTGAAGAGCCCCACGATGGGCGAAAGCGCTAGCCGATTATACTAGTCTTCGTGTTTTGTTTTACTTATATAAATCTTAATATGATGACAGAGAAAATAGGATAGGACCTTCATGCGAATTCCTAAGTGCAAGTGCAGAAAATCGTGGCGAAATTAATTCTAAATTAAATTAAAATTTTTGGTTTGGGCAACACCCTCAATAAATGTCTGTATCCGCCCCTGTATTTGGAGGAAGAGAAGATGTCTGAAAGAGTACGTATTGATGTTGGTTGGCTGATCCAGGGTGTATGTGTCTTGATGTTTTGAATAATTGTCAGGATTAATGGAAATGTGGTTATTTCCGATTTACATAGCATGGTTACCATTGCTTTGTTTCTCTTGCATTCTAAAATATCCCAGCCTAATTGATCTAACATTGAAGTGACACTGCTGGTGCTGTGATAGCGATTGGGGGTATATCGTGCCGCTCTTCCCTGTACCCTATCTAAAATGTCCCAGCCTAATTGATCTAACATTGAAGTGACACTGTTGGTGTTGTGATAACGATTGGTGGTTTGTCGTGGCGCTCTTCCCTGTACCCTATCTAAAATATCCCAGCCTAATTGATCTAACATTGAAGTGACACTGCTGGTGTTGTGATA